CTGTTACTCCCTCTCTCAGGTCCAAATATTCTCCTCAGCATCCTGTTCTCAAACACCCACCATCTATGAAAATTATTGTCGTCTGGGATGTGGCGCCGTATAGTCCGGTGGAAAGGCGCCAGCATTTGGAAGAACTTGCTGCCTGTTCACATCAGGCGTCCAACCAAGAAGACGGTAGTCTTCATGTCCAACTCCGTGATAACAAGAGATCTACCTCTCAAGGCGTATTTTCTTGCCTAAGAGCCAGAGACCAATTTTCACTTGCATACACAACAGCAGGTAAACTACGTTACTTCGCTATTTTAGGTGTGTAATGTCAAATAGTTCTGTGTCGCCATGGATATTAACTAAAGCGTCACGTGTGCGGTAGCGTCCGAGCTTCCGTCATGTTCAGACTGAACGTCTCCACGGTGAGGACAAGGATTCGTTGAGTGGGCGATACCCCAGATACCATACCGACGTGGCATTTCGCTTAGGAATGCACTGAAACCGGGCTGCCTCATTCCCTATTACGTCTCATTAAAGAAATTTACAAACATGTGAATCCACAAGCGACGAGGGGTAAATACATCAGGGAAGTTGCAATGGACCCGAAATGATGCTAGGAGGTAAGAGGCAAGGAATTTATACAGAAGTTTAGAAAATGTCGGCCTCATGGATTAGACAGGAGATGTAAAACGACAGTAAGATGGCAATAGGGTGATAAGATTGGAAGAAGATGGAACTGGTTTAAGACAGCGTTCAGTAACGGTGCGTTAACTTCAGGATTTTATTATCAGGCAATACGAAAATCACAGTCACTAAGATTTTTAATTCCGAAAAATAAAATTTAAAATGCTTTTGCAATTTAAATTACTGATAAGCCGTGTCTGAGTGCTTGTGACGTGTTTTTGGCGGGATTGGCATTAAGTATGATGATATGATATACATGTTACAAGGGTTGGGATGTAATCACATACGTGGTGTGGAGGTGGCAAGCTCGAAGTTGCGCCCGTCTACCCGGGAAAGTCGCTACGTCAGTAGATCAGACAAAAACATTCGACAGCTAACTCAAAGCACCTTGTCTGGTGACTAAACCTAACAAAGGAACCGCTTCGCAACAGACATTAGGCATTACCCTAAAGAAATAAGACCGTTTCATTTAGATGAGACACTGAAGCCAACATAGGGTAAAGTGGTGGAAGGAACGTGGTTGGGTCGAGCGTTCGTGTGGAAACAGTGAGTTGGATCACGTGCATCTCCAGCTGTACTGAGGCCACGGATGCCGGTGTATGAAGCTTCCTTGTTTCTGCCTACTCTTGTATTCCTCTCCATCCCCCTGTGGCCTATGTCAACCAGCCGCTGGTGATAGTAGATGACTGTCAGTGGTCCTCTGAACAGAACGGCTGGATGGCTGACTGGAGAGTACGTAGAAGTGCGCTGACAGTGACCGAAGAATTTGAAGTTTAAAGAAGAAGTTACGGGAAGAACTGATCACGTACTTGCCTTAGATATCGCACGGACCGCATAGAAAATGACGTGTCTAACTGTTGAAAACGATGATCTCTCTGCGGTCCGCCACGAAGTTCTATAAACAGGAATTAGGGGGCTTACACAGACATGCAGACATCAAGGTGATCACATAAGCATCCTTGTATTGTTTTAATGTAAAGAAAGTAGACTAACAGGAAATTTTGGAAAGAAGTAATCATCGACTGCTTCCCTTTGATAACACACAGACAGCAAGGTGATCTCATAAGCTTCCGTTTATTTTTTTGGAAAATAAAATTTCGCTGGTAAGGACGGTGAAAAGGGTATTCAGGTGACAAAGAAAAACAGTGTCGAGGACAGATTGTTGTGGAAACTGAAGATGGCAAACACGTGAAGCGAGACGAAGCGAAGGAGCGTAACTTATCGAGATATGAAGGGGGTCTATCCGTGGGGCCTCTTTCCGTGGCCTCAGTGTAGTGACAAGGTTAACAAGGCTGAACAGCTTAGTGGTGTGTGTGTACCGTATGCTTCTAATGCGCTCCTTGCTGTTCTGCATGCCTAATTGACCTTGATGCTAATTTGTCGTAGATACAAATCTAATGTTTCAAAGCTAATCACAGTAAAGACATCACACTCCAGAGAGTCAGAAATGATGTTCCCTTGTGTTCTGTTATATATCGTAACATCTAAAAAAATGTCTAAAATAGACCCTCATAAGATCAGCATTCTGTGTTATGTATGTTTCCTGTACGATGAGCCTCATCCACCTCTTTAATAGAAAACATGATGATAATTGGGGCTTCATATAAGGTAGGAATTACAAGATAAGAAAGGGTATATTCCATTAAGGTAAAGCTATCCCTGTAACAGGCAGTGCAGGACCATAGGGTTGTGAGACGTTGAGGGTCCCCCGTTTTCTAGACAATCGGCTCACAGATGGCGGTAAGGTTGTCAGCCTTACGTACCGGTCGCCCTTTACTCCCAGCAAGATTCCTGGTACTCATTTATGTTAGAGGCTGAGTCGACCCCAGGACCATAGTGCTGCTGGAAGCATTAGGTCAATTGAATAATCCACCTTATCGGGACTCGAACTCGCGACCTTCCGGCTTGTAGTGTAGTGCCTCGACCGTAGGAGGCTACGTGGGCCCTACAGGCGGTAGGCACACTGGGGAAGAGAACAATCCCTGCCCCTACCAGGAATTGAACCCTGGCCGTTCAGCCCATAGCCCATCGCTGTACCGACTCCGCTGCCCCATAAATAATGAGCAGATTTCGAACGGCATTCTCTTCGGTTTATTGAGCCCAAGTTCGCCCGATTTGTAGCGCCAAGTAAAGCGGACTTCAGCCAGAATGGCCAAAAATTCGGAAGTGCCCAACAGCTTTCAGTGAAAGTGAAACGCCCTGAATTTACCGGTATAACAGGTCTTTTTATTGTTATGTTTTACTGGCGTTGTGAAAGCCGCCATTTGATCGGTACGGACCAAAATTTGGTCCGAAAATTTTAGTGTGGCTCAAGAATACTATAGTGTACTGAAAATCATAGGTAGCTTCGCAGAAGAAAGACGCCTACGAACGCGTACGATTTCGCTCTCACTCCCGCATGCTTTGCATAGGATGTATAACATGCGTGGAGCTACCCCTTCGCTCACCTATACGCCATTTTATCAGGGAACCAGTCTACTGGAGTCACAGTAGGAAACCACCTTGACTGAGTTTTGTCGTTCCAAATGATGACCGTGTTTAGGGGGGTTTCTGGGGCGCAGTGCGCATGCGGAGATTTATCCTTGCTCCGCGGATTCAGCATCCCTCACGCAGTCTAGTAGTGACGTCACTCCACGCCGTGTGTTTCCATCTTCACCCCTGCGATGGACGTATCTCATCCCTCCAGAAGGTAGGTTTGATCACGTGGGGTGTGTGTGTATATATATGTGAAGGGGGGTCATTGCCCGCTCCCGCCGCGGTACGGTGTCGTCACTACACGATAAAGAACGCCTGTCACGAATACCTTCTGCCGTACCCAAGATGAAGTGAGAAACGCTTAGGACAGGTGTTAACATCTCTGCCGTGAGGTTTGATATTTTACGCCGATCTCATGGCTGTTATACGTTGTCTTGTAGTCATGATGCTTCAAGGTGACAGTAAGTGTCCTTCTTATGGGGAGTCAGTCCATTTTGTAAATTATTCCAACTGAAGATATGAAACACTGCAGTCAGCAGTGGTCTTCTGGCATAAGACACAGTGTAGTCTGATCACTAAGAACCAGCAGTATGGGCCATGGAGGATATCAACTTGAAGATTGAGGCTTCTTCCAAACCACCTCTATGAGAACCTCAAGTCTCGTATACTGAGTGAAGTGTTCTGATTTTCCTCAGTCCTTCCAGGCGAATGATGAGATAGTACATCAATCAGATCATAACTGCTTCCTTCCACATCCTTTCAATCCATTATGCCCTGATTATCCTATTGTTTTATGCTATGTAACAGCTGTTTAGTTTTCCTCAGTTCTGTGATGCAATATAATACTTGATGCAAGTTGTTACACTTTCACTTTTCTTTTAATAATCTTCTTGTATAAAGCTAAAGTTATCCCTGTGCTTAACTAGTTAAGCACTACACCACGAAGACGTATGGGGGAGTGGATGTATAGATTCACATTTTTTTGACCTCGGCACTAGTCGGAGGTGAGTAGTCAGCTTCACGCCCCTGCCGCTTTACCCCCAGGAAAAGAGCTCCCATTCATTGGACAGGAGGCTGGGTGGGCCCCAGAGTCGGTCTGCAACATGTGGAGAAAAGAAAATTCATGATTCTACTGGGACTCGAACTCTGACCCCTCGGTCATCCAGCAAGTAGCTAGTCACTATGCCGATTGCCCTGTCCCAGCTCTAATCTACTTGTAGTAAAGATTAAAAGTTAAAAATTTAGAATAAAGTTCTTGAAATTAAACTGAATCCTTTATAGAACAGTGTTCACTATTATGTGCCACAAATCTCTGCATTTTGCCCACATGGTGTACATATTTGTGCTCTTTGTGTGACTCTCAGCATAAAGAATGGTAGCTTCTTGAACAGCATTAGCAAATTGATCTTTGTAATGGAAATTCATTAAGTTTTATGTGACATAGGAAGTGAAACTTTAAATATTATTTAGATGAATGTCATGCTCCAAAAAATCACATTCTGTGTATCCAGGTGTGCTCAAACCAGTCATTTTATATGACCTTTATGTTACAGGGGATATTTCATTTAAGCAAATTTTGTTACATTAGATGTAAGATGTAATTGAGAAGCTAATAATGGCCCAGTTATTCAAGAAACTGTGTTATATGGATCCTAAAGATACATTACAATGTTCAGAAATGCCTGTCACTAGACCTAGTCCTCAGCCACATGAATCCAGTTGCCTTAATATGATCTTGCATTTCATGTGCCATATTTCTTATACTGACTGCTGTGGCACAGATATATCCTTATTAGAGGCAGTGATTTAGATACATCACGTCTTTAACATATGAACTTACTTTGTTGTTGCAGGGGCTGGACAATGTGAGTTCTGGGGCACTGCGCCCCCTGACCTCGGATCTCAACACACCACGCATAGACAGCTACCGCTTTTCTATGGCCAATCTGGAGGGTGAGTACAGAGTATTGGTCATTATATCCATTAGTAATACAGATTGTTATGAATTCTGCATCAAATATAAGGCAGTGTGTTCGTGTGTGATTTGTCTTTAGTCACACATTTCAGTCTCTTATCCTGAACAAACCCTCTAAAGCACAGTGATTACTGAATGTAGCACGATTTTTAACTGAAAGGAAACAGTTCATGTGATTCTCAGAGTAAACCTCAGTTATTTCCATAAAAAACATTAATGTATTGGTCTTTGTAATGTGGATGTTGTGTGTTCTCTGTGAGAGAAATTAATTTTCATATTTCATATTATTTTGATGGACTTGTTGCTTTAAAGTGTTAATAAATCAGTCTTTCTGCAAGTCAGTAGTCTCCTTAAAAACCGTTTTCATTTGCAGACGGACTGCATTTTAGGCAGCATTACTATTTTTGTAATCTGCATAGTCCTAAGGTAAAGAGTGGTGGAGCTCTACCTCCATTCCCCCATATGTCTACATGGTGTGGTGCTTAATTAATCAAGCACAAGGGTGACTTTACATCACATTTTTTCTGATCAGCATATAAGACCCCATTTGGAATATGAACACAGAACAATCAAGTCAGTCTTTCATAATGAAGAAAACAGTTTTTTAAATATTACAAACACATTGCATCTTGTCATGGCTGGCTGCCCGAGAAGCCTTCATTGCAAAGTAACAAACTTTACCTAAAAAAATGAGATGAAGATTATTGTCTTATGGGATGCAGTGACATGTAGTCTTATAGGAATATACAAGTGTATCGGAGCAATGTACCGCCTCTGTCTTCAGGATCAGAGAGTAAGTCAGCAAACAGCAAACAGTGAAAACCAAGCATGGAGAAGTAGCATGGATATAAGTCAGGGTAGCAGCCCTTAAATGGCTTACTTTTTGACCCTGAGGATGGAAGCAGCGCCTATGGTATGTCTGTAAACTTCTACAAGACTACATAATGGAACATTCCAGAAGATAGGAATCTTTATAGTCACTGCTGTGAGAACCTCAAACCTCACAATTGAGAGCACATTTGTGATTGATTACAAATGTCCTGTGGTGGTGAGAAGCAGATGTATCTTTGTGCTGTTCTTGGATTGCCCTTCATAAACAGATTCACAAACACTCACACCTCACTTATAGAAGCCTTTGTTTTTAGACTCGCAAGATGTTGATCTGGATGCTATCTTGGGTGAGCTCTGTGCATTAGAAAACCAGTATGATGCTGCACTAACAGGTGGTACCGGTGGAAGGAACAATTCCCAGCATACAGGCTCCAAGAGGACTTCGGTACCCAATACAGGTTAGTATGCAGTATAGTAATCTCAGGCAGAAATGAAATTGCTACAGGCAGTTGATCTTACTGTGACTGACAACGCATTTTTAAGTCAACAACTGTATGCAAAACGGGAGCCGGGATAGCGCAGTCAGAATAGTGACTGGCTATGGGCTGGACAACCCAGAGGTCAGAGTTCAAGTCCCCATAGGGTCAAGAATTTTCACTTCTCCATCTTGTCCAGACCAGCCTTGGGGTCAACCCAACCTCATATACAACGGGTACCAGGGGCTCTTTCCCTGGGGGTAAAGCTTCCAGAGTGTGAAGCTGACCACTCATCTCCAACTAATGCTGAGGTCAAGAAAATGTAGATCTATACATCCACTCCCCACATACGCCATCATGGCGCAGTGCTTAATTGGTTAAGCACAGGGACAGCTTTACCTTCACCTAACGTGTGCAAAATACAAACATTAAAATACACAAAGCTGTGTTGAAATCAGTTGTCAGGTGTCAATGTGAAATATGTTCACAACTAAAAAGGACAAGATTATGGTGAATTCATGGGAAAGAAAAATTTTGAGGAATATGGATGGGCCCATTAACTGAGCAGGGGGTTTGGAGAATCAAAACTAACGAAGAACTGAGGAAATAACGTAAATATTCGTCTGGTAACAGACATTAAAAGGGGAAGGGTGGACTGCTTGGGGCATGTGATTATAATGAATCAAACAGGAGTGGCTTAGGAAGTTTTTTCAGATTAAGCCAGATGGCAGCAGAAGCAGTTGAGGAATGTTACACACTGCTATTCTACGTACACATATTAGAAAGAAATATACAGCAGATTTAAAAGTATTTGCTCCTATTGTGATAACATGAATACAATAAACTACTACAGAACCTGAGAATAAAGGGGTTGTTATGTATTATGCAGGGATGGACAGGGCAGGTCAGCATCAGTCACTGCTGCAGCAGCATCGGAGAACACACTCCCGTTCCAGCTCGGAGGGCAACCAAATGCTGAAGCTGGACCCCAGTGATACTGACCCACTAACAAAAAGTGAAGGAGGTAAAGCAGCAGTACAGAACATTCCACCACAATTACACTGGATGTCATCCGTTCCCTGACGGACATTACAGGAGATGAGGCCGCTCTGATCTTGTGATTACATCATATACTAGCAGAAATTTTTCGTTTTAATCCTTATTACCTATAACTGTGATTGAACCCAGAATCCTTTGCTAACAGCTAGATCACAGAAGCTGTAGACAAGTTTGAATTCAAGGGATTGTGGGTTTGATCCCAACTGTTGCTACTAGTTGCAAAAATGAAAGCAACATTTTATTAATGTGACAGCAACCAACAAATCGCTTGAAAATTACTTGAAACATTTTGTCCTGTTTACCAAACTTCATGTACTTAACACTATATAGTTACATTACTCATGATCCAGTTGTAACATCCAGCATTGAAATAGTATAAAATATAGGAGTTAAGTAGTTCTTCTGAACATTTTGCATGAAAATAATGACAACTGATCGCACACTGTTGTTGGCAGGTCCACATGCCAGTGGACTTAGTATTCCCTGCAACCAGCAAGTGTCCCCTCATGTCACCCAGCACCATTATGATTTTACTGTAGAGAGAGGGCTGCACCATAGCTCAAGCGGTTAGTCGCTGGCTTCCCACTGTGAAGGTCCGGGTTCAATCCTGGGTCTGGTCAGGTGGGATTTGTGGTGGACAAAGTGGCGCTGGGGCAGGTTTTCTCCGAATACTTCGGTTTCCCCTGCCAATCTTCATTCCACCAGTTGCTCCACAATCACTCTCACCTATCATCTGGAGCTGGTACAATAGGCCAGAAGTGGCCACAGAACAGGGGACTTAGTCCCACCCCACTAGCAGTAAAAAAAATTACTGTAGAGAGAGAAGATGGTATCGGAAGATTTTAACAATAAATATGTAATAAATCTGTAACTGGAACAAGTTATCTCAAGTTGAGCATCAAACATAAAAACCAGTGGTCAGAACTGATGTCGACATGAAGTTTTAAGTTAAAAATATGGAGTTGTAGATAATGGTTTGGTAAATATACATGTCATGGTCATAACTCTGGTTTCAGGTGTTCGGACAGATAGTCCAGACAATGATTCTGCTTTCTCGGATAATGTGTCCATGTTGTCAAGCGAGAGCTCTGCATCTAGTGGGGGCAGTGGAGGTCGCACCGATCCTGGTGGCAAAACCAACGGGCGCAATTTGGCACCTTCTCCCACACAGGTGATTAATAATTCCTGGTTAATTTGTGTTAATTAAGGTTTTCCTTTCCTTGACATTTCAACAGTTGTGACAGAGATGTACACATCTGGTTGTAGTGTGCGCCTCTCACTTGGCACACATCTGAGAGACAACAGCAGTAGACTACAGTAGCTTTTGAGTCCATCTTAACTGCTGCAGTCCTACTGGGATTTCATGATCTCTGACCCTACCTGCATGTGATATGGCAAGCCAAAAGAATGTGACACTGTAGTGAAATCTTCATTTGAGCACCAAAAAATGATATATATGGCTTCAAACCTCAGTTCAGTTAGATACAGCCAGGAGCATCAGAGTACTGGATCAGAACTCACAAGTATAATACAGGCCTACAACTGGTTATGGACAGAGCTGGCATGCGACTGTTGGCCAACGCTATATGGAGGCAGACAGCACTGAGTGACAAAGTATCATGAAATCTTACAGGACTGAAATTTAAATTTCTTATTATAGTCATCCAGCTTATAACACCATATTGTAGTTTGGTAAGTGAGTACCAACATTTCAGAGCAATATAATGCCTCCATTTCCAGGACTGAAAAGTTGAACCCCTGAAGATGGAAGCAGTATGTTTCTCCAGAACAAAAGTACCCATCTACCAGATTATTTTGCAACGCAGATGACAATAGTATGAATCTGTACTGTTAAAACCTCAAATCTTACTAGGTTTAAGTTTTCCTTACCAGATTTTAACCTGTGAGAAACACAGTGCTAAGACGTAGTCAGTTATGATGTAGACACAAAAGAGTAGATATGTTGATCAGTTTTAATGTGCTACCAAAAACCTGATGGAGGGCAAGCTGTATACTGTGAAACAACCATGAAAAGGCTACTGCTAAATTTCTGTGTTACCATCCCAGCTATCCTGATATTATTGAATTCTTCTAGTTCTGCATACTTACTACTCAGTTAACACAAAGCTGATACACAAAAAAGGCTGGTAATTCAGTGATTCTCTTGTTTAACAGTTGGAGTAAGCCAAGCAAGCAGTCTGTTACTTGCCTCTTTGCTTGGCTTACACTTCAAATCTGAAAATGGAGTGAATGAACATCTACCAGACTGTTGTCCCCTCCCAGAAGATAGTACTTTGCATAGTCATTACAATAGGAACCTCCAGTCTCACACTAAAATTAGCCAGTTGAGAGCCTTATTTAAAGGGATCAGAGTTATGGCAGATCTTCCTCCTCTACCTTCCTTTTGACAATCATAGCCACTGTCATGTGCTATAATTACTGTGACCAATGACTGCCCACAGATGGATGCAGCAAGTCGCGCTAAAGCAGAGAAGATCCGGATAGCCCTCGAGAAGATGAAGGAGGCAAGTGTCAAGAAGCTGTTCATCAAAGCATTCTCTGCTGATGGCAGCACAAAGAGCCTCTTGGTGGATGAGAAGATGACTTGTGCATATGTGACACGCCTCCTTGCAGACAAGAATCATGTGCATATGGACCCTAAATGGGGGATTGTCGAGCATCTGCCAGATCTCTATATGGGTAAGCCTGGAATGTTGGTATACATAGTTTTCTAGCTGTGGTAGTTGATCCTTCTGGCACTGGGAGAGATTATTCTCTGAGCATTTTGGCTTTCCCCTGCCAAATAATTGCCATGAGTTTTATTGCATGATACGAACAGAGCTATACAGCCATTCCCTCATATATCTTCATGGTTTAGTGCTTAAGCACATACACCTTTATCTTGTATGTATGTATGTGTGTAAGAGATGGACCATAAAATTCGGCCCTTGCACTGCGACCTTCAATGATTTATTGTGCTTCCCCTTTGGATTAACCCTTTATTGATCCTACACTTCGAATGAAATGTAGGACTTTATTTATGGGGCATCATAAAAGTCACTTGGTTCCATGAAAACTGACCCAGGCGACGAAATTTTGAGTAAGCTATGGCCTCACAATCACATAGGATATGTGTGGCTGATTCATCTTCCTGTAAGCACCTATCACAGGTTGGGTCATCTCTCAGCTCCAGTTCGAAAAGGTGTCCTTTAACATGGCAGTGTCCACACCTTTATCTTAGACGCACAGGCATCATGCCATAAGGCTGACTTTCTTTGTAAAATGAGAAGGGTGTGCTCAGAAATGTGTGTTATATTTGGACAAATACGGCAAATGTATTAATATTGCGTTTCACGGTTGATTGCTAGAACGAGTGTATGAGGACCACGAGCTGCTAGTTGAGAATCTCATGATGTGGACTCGAGACTCAAAGAACAAGCTCCTCTTTTTGGAGAGACCAGACAAAACTGAGCTGTTCTCTGCACCTGAGAACTTCCTGCTTAGCCATTCTGACCGTAGCAACACAGACTTCGATGACCATGCAAGGGCTATACTGCTTGAGGTAAAAAAAAAATAAAGTTAAGCTATCCCTGTACCAGGCCATGAAGGCCCATAGGGTTGTGAGACATTGATGGTCCCACGTTATCTAGACAATCGGCCCAAAGATGGCGGTAAGGTTGTCAGCCTTACGCACTGGCCGCACTTTACTCCCCGGGAAAATTATTTAATTAATTCCTGGTACTCATTTCTGTTAAAGTCTGAGTCAACCCCAGGGCCATAGTGCGGCTGGAAGGGTTAGGTCAATTGAAAAAAATCCAATGACCTCATCGGGACTTGAACCCATCCTCTTCCGGCTTGTAGCATAGCCCCTCAACATGGCATTCAATTCTAAAGGATTCTGTTAATAGTATACCTTATGCTTCTGTCCATTCTACATGAATGTTATTGTAAAACAAAAGCTCCTGATGCAAAGTACCGGTGACTAAGTGTCAAACTGTGTGTCCAGGAATTCTTCTCAAGCACCAGTGTGGGTGTTCCAGAGGTGGATGGTTCACTTTTTCTAAAGGCAGATTCGAAAAAAGGCTGGAAGAAACACCATTTTGTGCTTCGAGCCTCTGGGCTCTACTATTGGCCCAAGGAGAAGGCAAAGTCATCCAGAGACCTCGTCTGCCTTGCTACCTTCGATGTAAATCAGGTACTGTTACTGACAGAATTTTATATTGGGTGTCTGGGTCAAGAACTGTAAGGGAATTTGATTTCCATTTCCTCTGGTCCAATAAACCAGTCCAGAAAACCGAAATTAACGACCATGGGGATTTGTTGCACTGACCACGTGACACCCTCTATCCACTAAAGTTGACACTGGCTTTGCCGACAAGCAGCGGTCGATCAGTCAGTATAGTTCACTTGCGGACTCAAGCCACGGAGTTATTATTTTTTTTTTGTTCAATAAAACTTCATCTTTAAATGATCCTCAACTCAAACTTGAATCATTTTTGTAAATAATTGCTCATCGTACAAAAATTGGTACGTGACATGAAATAGAGATCTCCATAAGAAACTGTACTGTACTGCGTGACAGGAAGACCACACAAAATATTCTCGAGTAAAGTATATTTCTTGAACCTTGCTTATTTGGCTGTAACAATAGAAGTACAGCTATTGGTGGTGTAATGTTAGATTATAAACACTGTCACATGACAAATAATTGTGGGTTCCAGATTTGATGATTGGATGTCTCTTTTACGATTATAGTTGATTACAACAGCTCATGCATTGAACTCCTTCCTAAGTATATCTGTTTGCTGAGTCATTGCTTGGAAACACACCAACTCTTGAATCCTCAGTCCTCCATTATTGACAAATGCATGGCCTTTTACAAAATACCGGAGAATCCAATAGAGAGCTCCACCTCCAAGGGTTCCATCACTGTTGTTCATGTCTGTGTTATGCTGGATACACATGTAATACTGTGACAACCAAACTTGTCCAGCACCGGACATCTGTTCTCATTGACAGCATAATGCTTGGGAACGTGTTTAGCTAACCATTGCCTAGCAATGCATCACAATACTGTAAATGTATTTTACTGCTCTCTTGCATGATCACTCATGGTATATAACTTATAGATTATGTGAAGTGAGTTATCATATGCTTGACTACATGTTTTGACCTTTACAGATCTTTTAAAATTTAAATTTCACACTCCAGTAGGGATTGTATGCGTACAGATGCTCACTGTTTCTGTTTGTCTTGTGTTACATTCCTGATGTAATTTCTGAAGATTTATGTACAGGCATTGCTTGTGTAAGATGTTACAGTATGCTTACAAAGTATAAAGAACACAAGTGATTCTCAGATATATTGTAATATTACATGTTTTTATTTGGGGGACAGGTGTATTATGGTGTGGGGTGGCGCAAGAAATTTAAGTCGCCAACAGACTTCTGCTTTGCTATCAAACACCCAAGGCTGCAGCAACCGAAGTCCAGCAAGTACATAAAGTTCCTGTGTGCTGAGGACCAGGCCTCGCTTGACAGATGGGTCATGGGAATTCGCCTTGCCAAGGTCAGAAGCAAACTTACATTTCATGAAAATCATAGAAACAGTAGAAACCAAATATTTAACTTTTTTAATATCACAGAGAACCATTGGATATGATTGTGAGATAGTTCAGTCCAGTTGCTTATTTCCCTAGGATTTATTGTAATATATCCTCCCATATATTTCTCTAGCGGGTGGCAACTTTCCACTGGGCTCCCATGTTTTCCCATGTTATTTACATTTCAAACCTGCTGTGCCCTCCTTTATTTAACATTCTTGGCAATAATGTAAGACCTGTGCATATTATGACAAACTACAGGCACCTGCATTAGGGAAAGGATACTCTCTTGAAAATGTGTCTGTTCTGAAATTTTGTTGTGTGAACCCTAGTGTTCCATGGACTCCCATGTTGTAAGTGGAGGTGTGTTCCTATGGAAATTATTAGTCCACAGTTGTAATGAAAACTGGCTTCATGTATTTTTAGATTAACTACCCTGTTCTGAGAAAATAAAAAGTAGGTTTATGAGATCACTTTGCTGTCTGTATGAGTATGTGTATCCCACCTATTATCGCTAGACAGTTGGTGGATAAACATGTTCTCACAGCAAAGAATATGCAACAGTAAAAGAATTGTTGGATTCATCCATGTCATATCAAAGTAAAGTAGGTGTTTAGTTCTTCCCAGAACTTCTTGTTTTATTATGTAATTCATTTCTGTACTCCTTTAGGTATACTACTTGCACTTGCGCTATGTGGCCTCTTTCTGGATGTCTTCATCATGTTTTAACAGAATCAAAAATGTTATGGGAACAGGCGTACCTTTTATCCCTCCGTGTCGCTGTCTGTGCACCGGCTTGCCAGCAAGCAGTTACGTGTACTGCGATGTCATTGAAACATGAAGAAGTTCTTGTTAAATTTGTTGTTATTTCATATTTTATATTAAAAAAAATAACATATAATCCATTATCTCCGTGAGGGTAAAGTCATGGTCTGTACCATGAAGTTTATGGTCATGTTTTATAATTTCCATGAAGACAAAATTCCATAATGGGAGTAAAGTGTACTTCGTTATGCAATATCCTCCATAACCCACTCTCTTAATCCCACTTAGATTTAAATTTTTTTAGGCTTCATTTTCTAGCATTGGCAATTTAATTATACCAGACTTTACGGTCCAGTGGTTAGCAGCCCTGCTTCACATTTGGGACATCACATGTTCAGATATTGACATAGATAGTGTGACGTGGATGGCGCAACAGGAAGTAGGGGTCACGTGAACTCTGCGTTTCCACGAGTGATGTCACGTACCCCCACACCTATCATTACGCAATGTTCGGTAAACACCCTTGCCCGCAAGGCTGTGACGTCACGCAACAGGCGAGCCCGTGCAACAACTGTTGCTAGGCAATCGGTAAACACAACTAGGCAACAAGGAAGTGAGGTGGTTTCCCATTGTCCGGCTGAGGGTGTATAAGAGAACTACACTGCCTAAGGAGTCAGTTGAAATATAGCAGCAGTCGCGGAAAGAAGAATACCAGAACATGTGATTAGAAGTGATCGTGTGAGAAGGTATTGGGAGTGTGAAATACAGTGACCCTGGTATAGCTCCGTATTGTACTGTGAATAAGTGAAGACTAGTGAAGATAGAGTGAACAGATTATTGTGTAGGGTTTATAAATTGTGTAAACCCGCAACTGTGTTATAATTGATTGTAGTTAGGATTTGTAGGTTGTTAAATAAACCAATTAACAATCTGAATGGCATCTTTAGAGGCAAAACACATTACAATATCATTGACCTTTATTGTCATTTTTCTCAGTCCATCCATGCAAGTGCTTGGGTAGTTCCTTAAAATAGGCCACAACCACTTTCTTACACATTCTCTTCAATTCATGCTGTACGGTCGTCGTACCATTTGACGCGACACAACTTTTGGATCTAATAATGAACGTTTTCTCAAAGTGAAGAACCAGAAACTGATTCAAGTCCCAATAAGGATTTTCTGTTTTTTTTCTTGAGATGGTGTGTGCTAATATGATGATGTTTATTCTCTTGCAGCATGGACGGCAACTTCTTGACAGTTACCGCAGCCTAGTGGATGACCTAGCCCAGGAGGACCTGGACTTGTTAGCTCATGCACGGTCATGCTCTGTCAGCTCAATTGCAGGAGGGGGCATGGGCCAACCTGCGGGCACACCCTGCAGTCACAGCAGCTCAGAACCCGATCAAGACCAGGACCAGCTGCAGCCAGCTGTGGCAGTAACCCCAACATACAACCACAGCTTCCATGGCACGGTGGATGGGCTGCCAGGTAGGCACTTACCATTTTTAGATTTTGATTGCTAACTATAGGGATGTAACATGTTACTGTACCTCTCCAGTGCACCCAAATTAATTGAGATTTATTGATTTAATTTTGATTGGATTGATTTGTTAGATCGTTTCCTGCATTTCAGAGGAACATACTGCCTGGGCAGAACACTCTCTTACCCTGAAGATGTAGGCAGTATGTTGTTCCAAACCAGAGTACGCGGCATCATATCACAATAGATAGTAATCCTCACAATCACACTTATGAGAACCTGAAGTTTTGCTCATGTTATGACATGTGTGGGTGTGGAACTTCGTGCATCACCATAAGAGAAGAAAATAGGTTTGCGGCCTTATCTCTGCCCTGCCATTTGTCTGGTTGCAGTTCCTCCTGCATTTCCATTATTCATACAACAAAGTTTATAATAATATTGAAACTTCTTTGCAGGACCACGATTACGGCGGAGAGACTCATCCCGTAGCAGAGCTTCCAGTTCGAGTTCAAGTGGCTGTATGAGTGATGGAGGGGCACCTTCATCATGTTGTGAAGTGGCATTCGAATGTGACTTTCCCACAACTGGGACCATCAAACGCAAGCCGTCCATGAATCCCAAGTTGCCCCTTACATCCATCACGAGACAGCTCAAAGAGGTAACAAATTAAATATCAATTTTCTGTGAAGTAAAAATTTTGGCACCAAAACCTACTCAGTTTTAATTCCATCTCCAATACCCAGAATCAAAAAAATCTGTACTTGGTGTGCACATGGACAGGTGTACAAACATACAGAATGAAAACAAACTGGGAAATGTGCACACATCGCGGCTGGCATGTTCACTCTATTATTGTAAATTTTAAACATTTCTTTATTGAACTATCTCAAAAACCATAAGACTTAGAGAAACAGTGTATTTTTCATAAAATACATTTTATATTTCTCTACGATCTATTTTTAAGCATTTTTCACTCTGATAAATATTTAGCAGTCCCCCAAATTTGAATTTTGGCTCAGCCATTTCCCTGGTTTCATTCAGTCCATGCAGGCAAATGTCAGAAGAGAATCTTAAATTAGGCCACAACACCACTTCCTTTCACATCCTTTGAGTCCATTATTCACTATCAGCCAGTCATCTGATACTCTATAATCTGAGATACTTACAGTGTTGTTAAATAAACAATAAATAATAATAATAAACAGCTACTATCTACGTGTCTGTGGGCATTGCTGTTGGCCTTCAGAACTTCTTGTCTTTGTTCAGGTTGGTGAGACCGTTGTTGAGGGTTCATCTCCACCTGATACAGAGTCACGGAGTGGGACTCTCACTAGAAGTGGAACAAGGCAAAGCAGGCGTCGATCTTCAAACATTTCATCAGAGGAATCAGGAAGCAATTCCAGCACACTTAAGCGATGCCAAAACCATCACCGAGGGTCCAACTCTGGTTCCTCCTCCAATGCTTCTACCCCAATTAGGGAGCGTCCCTCAGAGCTCAGCCCTGTGGAATCCCCCGCAAGAGTGCCAGTAAGTGACGTGATTCAAAATGGCATCGAATTCACAGAGCCAGAATCCCTTGACTATGAGTCACAAGATGGAATAGAAGCTTCTGACTCATTGCCTCCACCACCCCCTGAGATGTTCCAGAGCACCCTCAGCCTGGACTCCCTTCCCCCACCTCCACTGCCATCAGAGCTGCCAGTGTACACGGATCTGGGTGGAAGTTCTCTGTCCCTCCTCTCTTTGCCTCCACCACCCAGTCCGTGCATCGACTCCACCACTATCCGCAAGCAACACAATCTACCACCACCCCACCAAGTAACCAAACTCCCCACTCCTCACTCATCAACATCATCTACTCCAACGAATGCTCTCTCACCTTCTACAACCCCCACTAGAACACGTCCCCTGTGCTTTTCTCCGCCTTCCAGTCCCAGGGCTTCCACAACCCCACGTGTGCCTCCAAAACCAACCCCCATCAGCTCCAGGCAGGGCTCCTTGTCCAGACAACAAAGTCTGGAAAGTGGAAGTTCATCACACTATGCCGTTCCTCCATATCTTGCGGAGCTGAAGGCTGGCTCACCCCTCATGGCTCGCAAAGCATGTGTCAACAGTGTGACAGGTTCTAGTCCAAAAAGTCCCATAAGTCCAGCCACCCCATCATCACCACCGCCACCACAGTCATGTGTTGCACCAAAGAGTCCAATCCTTTTGACTAAACATCGTACACGGACTGCCTCTAAAAAGATCTCATTTAACTTTACTCCTGAGGAGATAGGTGGGGAAAGTATTGGTGCAACTACCCCCTCATCTCCAACTTATGGAAGCAACAAGAAGCCTCTGCCACCCAAACGAAGTGAGAGCACAAGACTCAGCACCACGCCCAGTCCGAAGAGGCTCTCAGATGCAGATTCTACCCTCACACCACCCCCCAAGGACTTTCTGAAGGACCTGCAGCGTATCATGCGCAAAAAGTGGCAGGTGGCTCAGAAATGCAAGTTGGATTCATCCACAACACCTCACGAGGTTCTTGGTTTCCGGGATCCTCCTCCACCAGTTGCTGATTATCGTGAAACCAATGTGAGCAACTGGGTGCAGGAGCACTATGGCACAAGAGACAACCTCTATGAGAATGTCTACCTCGTCGGAGGCAGCCCCTCTGTTCAGGAGGTGACGTACACATCACAAAGTCAAACAATGCCACCTTCTGTAGACTACTACAGCAGGAATCAGGCCAACAGTGTTGCCATGGCAATAGCCAACAAGAAGAGGCCACCTCCACCTCCACCAAAGCGCAGCGAGACCACACAGTTGTCCACAGCACGGCTGCACTGACAGTACAAGCCGTGCTAGTCACTCTCATACAGACAATGCGGTCCCTAGTGTTGTACTTCTGTTCATGTGTGATGACTACTCAACAAATTTTTATGGTGCATTCATTTTTTTAAAGTACAATTATAATATAAATGTATTCTTATGTGTAAATAATTTTTTGGAAGATTAGTTATGGATGCTTCAATGGAATTTTTAAGTACAGTAATAGAGTGCAATTGCAGATATTTCGAGTGAATGAACGTTTCCTGTCCTCTAATTGTGTTCCCAGAGCCTAGAGCAAGGAATGAGAGTTTGTTCAGTGTTCCCATTGGGAGCAGTGAACAAGATGTTGAACAGAACATCTGAAACTGCATACTGTTCTGTGAGATTTGAGGATCTCATTGTGCTGAACATAAAGATTATTGTCTTATGGGACATGGCACTGTGTATTCAGGTAGATCACCACCTGTTGCCTCCACTTTCAGATTCTACTGAAATGCATGGTATCACATCCCAGATGACAGTAATATTAATAATGACTTCATTCGTTCTATGAATTTACAGTCAAGGAGATAGTTGTGAACAGTTTCCTAGATGTAGAGAAGGGATTGCAAACTCCAGGGGTAGCCCTCATAATGAAGCTGTATTGTTGGTACAGCTGAGACACAGTACTTTTCTGCGCTTAGATACTGAGTTCGTGTATAATATGAAATTTTTGTAGCGACTAAATTCGGTGAGGTCTTGAGTAATCATTTGATTCTCTACAAAGTTGAAGTCCAGTCTGACAATAATAATCTTTGTATCATAGGAGTTTTATTCCTTATTAATGTGGCTCATCATTTTAACATCATTAACTAATGTGACACTCTTCAAAATTTCAGTTTTTGCTGTTTATCGGTATGGTCATTCTCCATAGGAGTATTCGCTGCTATGAAGTCATGATGCCACACTTGCCTTTTCTCCCTGTATAACCAAGAAATATCCCTTCATGTAGTTAACGCTTTAAAGCACAGTGGTTACTGTTTCTACCGCCCACTTTAATATTAAGAAGTTGTGGATGTTGTTTATGTGTTCTGTACTTGGAACATAAAATAGTTATTTCTGAAAATGGCAGTAATCAGTTGGTCTTTGTATTGAAGAGACACTGTGTTTCTGTGAAATAGGAACTGAATGTTTAAATATTATTTAGATTAATTTCGTGCTTCAAAGGGTTAAGATAGCTTCATCCTGGTTTCTGTGAACACAGATATAATATCGCCCAGAGGGAGCTGGGACGGCTCAGTCAATATAGTGACCAGACTATGACCTAGATGTCGGGGGAATTAGGGCAGATATTTTCTCTCTTCTTCGCACCGTCTGGTACTGGGGCTTACCCAACCTCATATCCAATGGCTACCAGAGACTGTTCCTCTTCGGTATGAAGGTGACCACTCACTGCCATCTAGTGATGAGGTTGAAAATATGTGAAGCTTTACCTCCACTCATGGCCTGGTGCTTTATTAAGTACAAGAGATCTTTCTTGCCTCCTGTCTGGCCCAGTATGTGTCAGTGCTGTGTAACTGGGTTGTTATTTTGAGTACATACAAGTCTCTACTTTTAACACATTCACTCTTAGATACCAGTGCCATATATCCCACTAATGTGTATGTTATCAGAATATGTCTTCTCTAGAGATTAAAAATATTTTCATTTGACAGAATTGTTTATGTTCAACAGATGCCATGTAGTTGATAAAAACAGATGGCATATATAATCCATATTTCTCTAATACAGTGATGCTAAAATATGAACTAACTTAGTTGAAACAACTTGCAGATGATTGCTGAAGCTTGTAAATAAGGTTAGGAAAATATCATAAGTGATCTACACAATAAAGAGGCAACATAGTGATTGACTGCAAGAAGAGATCAAGAAGTTTTAATTGGGTGATTCCATATTTGCTTCCTTGATAATTTGTATAGCATTTAAGAAAGTGGGCAGTAATCTTCAGCAGAAAAATATGGACAAGTAAGATGATAATTCTTCTAGACTTTTAAGATTTGCAAGTGTGATATCATGACACATTTTTCAATATTGAACTATAATATTGCTTGTAAGAGGTGTGCTTTCAAGAACCATTATTATTAATGTCTCCAGAAATAAATTGTTTGTGGAAGAGCATACTCTGCTCAGTTGGCTGTACTGCTGTGGACAGTGTATTGATAGAACTAATTTTAGTTGCATTCAGAGCCCATGTGACAGTGAAAACACCAGGGACCAAAATTATTAAATAATGCTCTTATTTTGAGTTTGTGATTCCTCCCTCACAGTGAAAACTGATCATTTTAGGACAACTCCAAAAGTTCTGGAACAGGGAACCAATATTCTAGATGTCTAGAAACTGGGAGCTAGAAGCAAATGTTAAAGATGTGTATATTCACATTTATTGCAGTTGTCTTCATGATTTTGTACATTGACACTTGGTGTGTCTGTAATATTTAATTAATTAAATATAACTGTTGTTGAGAAAAACATAAAACGACAAACACGAGACCATATATACCTACTATTAACATTATAAAGTACGAGAGAAAACGCATTTATAAATTATACAAAGTGTAGTTGGTTGAGGCACTGTGCTTCAAGCCTGAGAGTCATGGGTTCGATTCCTAATGGGGGTCACTGGATTTTTCAATTGACCTAATCCTTCCAGCCACACTATGGTCCTGGGGTTTACTCAGCCTCTTAACAGAAATGAGTACCAGGAATCTTCCTGTGGGTAAAGGGTGGCCAGCACGTAAGTCTGACATCCTCACAGCCATCTGTGAGCGGATTGTCTAGGAAATGTGGGAGCCTCAACATCTCACAACCCTGTGGGCCTGCACAGCCTGTTACAGGGATAGCTTTACCTTTACCTTTTACAAATAATTTTAAATCACATTTGTAATGCAAAGGTATAGTGTTGTCCATGCCATGTAGTAGCTTGCTTTCACATATCATGAATTTTACTGAAGTTCACCTCATGGCTAAGTACATACTTTAATTTGTAAGTACATGTAATCTGAAGTTAGTTGTCTTCTGAGATATTTCAGAGGAACCTGCTGCCTAGGGGTTTAGGGTAGAAGAGTTAACTGAGAGTGGAGAAAAGTGTAATAGATGTAGGAAGATGGATGACAAGGACTTTGGCCTTGAGATAACTAATAAGAGCAAGAAGAATGAAGAATATTCGTGCCTTTAGCTGGTTGTTTTCCAAGAGCAGTGTGAATGGGAGGAATAACTGAACAACCAAGAGAAATAGTTGCCATTTAAAGATTCTTTCCCAAAGTCAGAGTGAATGGTAGAAAAGACAGAACATTAATATGGACTTGACCTATCTTGAATATGGAGGCAATGGGTTCCTTTGAAACATTGGTAACAGTCATTCAGCAGGGCTTGAGGTGGGGCAGGATGCGGTGGGATGGCATCCCGGTTCTTTTCTAAATGGCTTAAAAGCATCCCGTTACTTCTTTGGCAGTAAATGCAATGTACAATACAATAGGAGTTAAAAGGGGAAAACCATCCTGGTTCTATTTTCATTCCACCTCAAGCACTGTCTATCAGACTATATTTCACATTGCAGGAAGCAGTAATCTTCACAGTAAGGGATATGAAAACCTTAATTTGTAATTGTAACATAGTCTGTGGGAGGGTAAAGTGAAAGGAAAACAAACAACCCCAATTTGATGGATCAAGAAAGCCATCCGGCAAGTCCTCAAAGATAGTACACAAAACTGATAAGTACAGTTTAACAATTTGACTGTTGTGTTGAATATCGCTTCCACACAAATAAAATTACAGCACAAATCTTCCATATTTTTGGCATAACCTTGGTATATGACGAATTTCCTTATGGTATATTGAAAAAAAAATTGTATCTGTTGCTGTATGGAGATTCTTATAGTTGAAAGTGGAAAAAATTTCAATGTGAAATCAAGGGGTGGATCAGTAAAGCTACTGGAAATTCAGTCAGAATTTTTAATATGCTAAGACTGTTGTATCAAAACCCAAAGTTTAATACTGCTGGTACTGGAACTTCCCACTGAGTACCCTGAGCCGGTGCTGTCCATCTCCAATCCTTACAACTTATCTCCCTAAAATTCATCTCAGTGTTATCTTTTCATCTTAGTCTTCCAAGTAGACATTTTCCAGGATGTTCCTTACAAATGTGCAGCAAATTGCTGTCTCCTAAATTTTTCTAAGCTGTTGTGAAAATATGGTGACACTGATCGCTTTACAGTGAAGCGCTCATAGTGGGATTTTTCCTCCTGGGCGAGCCATAATTTGAATAAACTTTAATTTTGAACTTACTACATCCAAAACAGAAGTGGAAGAAAACAAGTAAACAAAATCTGCCTTTGCTGTATGTTTCAATTATTTCAAGCTTTATCAAACTACAATTTCTGTTCATCTGAGTAACTTCTATAGGAGAAGATTATGTTCACATACACAGTGGCAACACCCTATCGTTTGTTGGCATTGGCACTGAGCATGTTAAGAATCACGACACACATTGATGATATGAAATGAAAGCAGGTTAACTATATGGCTGTGGCAGCATGCACTGCGAGTAACGTATACTGCGCTGTAATATGACAACAATACTAATGTTAATATTATAACGTAGCTGTTGCTTATGTATACACATGGTATTATGTGTTCAACTGTGTTTTTTGTACTTTTTTTGCATAAACCAGACTTATTATATAACTGACATGTTTTGAGCAGGTTTTGGCCTGCTGTTCATTGTTTACCTTACAAACCACAAGTCAGCTGCTATACAGAAATGTTAATAAATGAATCTAGAAAACAGCGCTGTGTTGTGATTTAGATGTATAGGGTTATCTCCCTCGCACACAACTGATCCCTTTCCAGTAGCGTTTTCCTCTTACGGTTACAGAAACAAAGTAGAAATTTGTAGCTCTCCTCCAGTTTCATAGTTGCGCTCTCAGAGTATTCTCCTTCAGGTGTTAATTGTTACAGGGCCTACTATTCCCTTTGACTCACCTGAGTCTACATCTCATTTTACTTATTCCTGCTCCTGACTGGTCAGTCCTCATGTCCTGTGTGACCCCAGTTCCTACCACCTGTCTTACATAACTTGTCATTTTCCCAAATTGGTTCATTGCTGAAGCAGCAAGTTCTTAAAAACAGTAAATATCCACCTGTTGTATGTTGTTGACCCAAACGATCACAATCTACCCATAAATCTTCACTGCCATAAAAACCACAAGTCCCATTAAAATATGGTTTAATATGATCTCTATAGTGTGTGCAATATAGTTATAAAAGTAAATTACAGAAAATTTTGAAACATGAAAAGTATGGTAAAGTTGTCCCTGTACTTAACTAGTTAAGCACTATGCCATGGAGGCATATGTGGGAGTGGATGTATAGATCCATGCTTCTTTGACCTCGGTACTAGATAGTGGTGAATGATCAGCTGCACACCCTGGCCACTTAACCCCCAGGGAAAGAGTCCCCAGTACCCATTTTCTAGGAGGCTGGATGGTCCCCAGAACCAGTTTAGATGACATGGAGAAAATTCTTGACCATACTGAGACTTGAACTTTGACACCTCAGTCATCCAGCTTGTAGCCGGCCACTATATTGACTGCATTATCCTGGCTCCTTTGAAATGTAACAACTGAAAAATTCCTTCAGCATTAACAAGGAAGCAGCTGGAACTTGTTTGAAGCATTTATGTGGACAGACAGAAGAATCATTATCAGATACCTCAGAGAGTGTTTCACTTAGCTGCTCCAGAAATTGCACACTTTGTGTAGAACTCAAATGTTCATTATCACGTTGACACACACCTGCCACTGATTTCAACCCTGAGCCAGTTGAATACAGTTTACTAACCCATTCTTGAGAGGTCAAGAGTTTGCTCAGCCATACAGGATATTCCCAACATTTTATGGAATCCAAAAGTTCATTACCGTGTTCAGAAGAACATGTCACTAGTCCCTAATCTGAGCCAGATGAATCCAGTCCACACCCTGCCCCATGCTATTTCTTTAAGAGCCATTTCAGTATTACCCTTCTACCTATATCTAGGTCTTCCCTATAGTCTCTTTCCTTCAAGTTTTCCTACCAAATCCCTCATCACATGGCTCTCCCATGCATGTTACATGCCCTGCCCATTTCATCCTCCTTGAGTTGATCATTCTAATAATATTTGGCGAGAAACACGAGTCATGAAGCCCCTAATTATGCAATGATGTCCAGTCTCCTGTTATTTCATCCCTCTTAGGTCCACATATTCTCCTAGCAACCTATTTTCAAAAATTCTCAGTCTGTGTTCTTCCACATTTACTGTATTACTTTAAACTCCAAATTAATATTATCATTCAATCTACACATATACCTTTCAAATATGCGCAATAGACCACTGTAGGTCGCAGTGCAAGGGCCGAGAAGGCCCACCCCTTATACATTCATACCTCTCAAATAGTCTCTTTCCTACACGTAATCCACCATTAAAATAGCGTTTTGAAGTGGTAAAAGCAATAAAGAGAAATAACTGGGCACAGTACATGGCTGTTAAGGTTGAATATGTAAGTCAAGAAAATGATCAGGTACTTACAAACGGACATCCTACACTCATGATGCATCCTTTCAGTGCAGCCTCAATAGCTGCTTAATTCAGGATATCTAAATGGCAACCTCAAGCCTGAAAAGAAACAGAACTGTGAAAATAGAACCAGTATCATCTATAATATAACTTTTTCTTTCCCATTAAAAGGAAGGAGGTGATTTTTAATAAATTTATATGTATTTAATGACAATCTAAGTTTGAAAATTTTGGTACCATCATTTAAGAAACTATAGATGAGGCAAGTTTTCAATGAATAACCACTGGATTATCATCTCAGTACAAAGTCTGCCATCCCATGAGTAATAGATCCTCTTCACCCTATGGTAAAGTGCTGGGAGAGAATCTGACAGTTCACCTTCATCTTGCGGAGACTATGAATGCATGGAGCTCTGCCTTTATGTCGCCATATGCCTGGGCATGATATTTAGGCATGTGGACATCTTCAATTTTCTTTTACAATCATAACAGAAGTAAAAATTGCAAGTCAGTGAATCTAAGCATTATAGATATTTTCTAGTCATTGCATAAGTTCCATTTCAACATTGAACTGGTGATCACATATGTAATTTAAGGTTTTCACATAACAAATATTAAGATGCGATGTGCCTGTAGTTTTTTCAATGAATACTAATTTTCTGGTGAAATATCTGGTCTCCATCGTAAGGGTATGTAGCCAGCATGGAGTAAATCCTCTCTATATGTTGGTAACCATCTCCTATCAGACTAAACGGTGTCATATCAAAGAGGACTACAGTATGAATCTTCATCGCCAAGAATGCCTCATATATCATGCAAAAATGGGTAAGGAACTGGAAGTTTGGTCATGGCCCTATTTTGGGGTATCGTCTATTGTGGGGGAAGAACATATTGTAACGTGTTTGCAATCCAGAGGAGT